AACGGTAGAAAGATTTCAAATCGGGAAATAACATAAATCCTGGATTAGAATCGCTATCAGGCCGAACCAGTGAACAGTAAAGAGGATGAACGCTTGCTATAACTGCTGCAATCGTTCCCCACAGCTCATATTTCTGGACTATAAACCCACCACCGCAACCGATTCCTTGCGAGTCCACCGTGCTTTGCAAACCTTGCTTATTCCATGCGAAAAATTAGATTGTCTCTTGATCAAGAGCGACGTTATTAATGTTTTGTTTAATCTCACTACCGATAGGCATTCATATCATTAGTTTGAACCAATCGAGTTTTAAATTTAAAGAAGGCGACTATAATAATATTTAAAATTGGTAGAAAGTGAGGTTAACCATTTGACAGATGTGAGATTTTAATTCATTATGATCGATTGGCTTTACTACAAACAATAGTTATTTGTCACTACACTGTTTAAATTATCTGTGGTGTAAAGGGTAACCTTAAAATGGTGTCTAAATCCAACACCAAGTGGTGTTAATATAAACACCATGAATTATGGTTGAAAATGTTTTATACAGCAAACACCAAAACGGTGTTTATCTAAAAATATTTGAGAAGTGCACCTACACAGAAAAAAGGAATAGTTAATTTAACTATATTAATTTAGTTGACTAATAAGTATTTATTTAAATCAACTGTGGGAAGGTTAATATAACCAAAGATTATTTTGACGGTATTAAACCAGATAGTTATTTTATTTTTTTTAAATTGGTTAAATTAACCCAGAAAACTTTAGTGAAACCAACCCGCTATATGGTTCAGTTTACTAAATATGTTGTTTGTAAAATAAGAGTAACTTTAACCTAAAGCACTCTAATTAAAACAATTTGCCGTGCATTTCGGGTTGCATAGTATGTACCGATCGCGGCAAAGGCGGTGTGGATCACGTGATGTTCTTTAATCTCGCTTCTGTTGACTTACATGAAGAGTATATAAGCTCAGGTAGTTCTTTGCTTTGGTGTGACACTACAAGTTGTTCGATTCTAAAGAGACCTTAAATAGCTAAAAACAGCTGTTAATACTTGAAGTATTTTAAGTTGGTGGAACGCACTAAAAACATTATCTCTAGCGAGTTGAAGGTACAATTTTCTGGAATAATCCCACTGGTAATATACTAGTAATGCGCCAAGGAACTTCCTGTTTCTTTTTTTTTACTCTTTTTCTGTGTAGTATGATTTAATTTGACCAAAAACACATACTATTTAACACTGAAAAGGAGTTCAATTTACACCATGTAAAATTTATTTTAATACTATGTGAAAATTAAATTTACACTATTTTAGTATTTGAATTTACACTGGACCATCGAACCATATTTAACACCATTTTGGTTTGTATCGATATAGACCATCTATGGTGTTAATTTGGTGTTAAAATGGTCATGAAATTTTGAACAGTGTAGGCCAAGAAAACACACTTCTTCATTGAATGGCATACAACATTTTATACTTAAAGCAAAATTTTACTTGTTAAAAGATACATAAAACGTACATTTATAATAATAATTAATAAAAGTTTAAAGTTAGGTTAAAGAGATCTGACAGTAGTCAAATTTTTTAATAGGTCCAACAGATTTTTACAGACCAAGGTAAAAAACTTGACCCGAGTGGTCTAAATTAATTTTCACACGAGGGGGCTTGCGAGCGAGTGCTTAAATAAATTATTGTCTTTGTCTCTACTTTTTCTACGACAAATAGTAATTATTATCTAAAAATGATTAAAATTAAATATTTATATAAAGCGACATCTATAAAACAATAGAGGAATCTGTATTGTCAAATGTCAAACTGCGCTTCAAAATTAACGCATAATAAGTAAAAAAAGTCTCTAAAACGCCTTTACTAATCTTTATGAAATTTTGTATAAAAATACTTTAACATATATCTCAGTTTACGTGTTCGAGAAAATATGTTTAAAGCCCTTTTATTTAGTTGGATTTTTTAACTTGTTATGCGTTAATTTTGATTCAAACAAAATTATTTTTGCAATAAATCTAGCTTAAAACATAAAAAAGGTTTATAAAAAACAATTATATTTTTAAACGAAAACCTCCCAAACAAAACATATAGGCTGAGCTATAATTTTAACTATCCAACTAGAATCAGGAATTTGAATAAAAAGTTGTATTGAACCTAAAAAACTATATTAACCCGGATTCACATATCATAAAAATTAATGAGAAGCTTATTAAAACAGATATTGATGGCACATAAAAACAAGGCAATAAAGAGTAAGTTTGTGTTTGTCGGCGGCAGTTTATATCAGTTAAAGAGTAACTCTTGAAAGTTATGTCTGCATTACGTAGATTGGGGAAAACTCCTCTAAGGGGGACAAATGAGAACATATAAGGAAGATAAAGTATTGGAAAATAAAATACCCCGATGACAAAGTACTTTTTTCCTCATATTTATTGCAGTTTCTTGTATTCTATTTATTATACCGTTAAAGAATTAAATTTGATTTATGAACTTCAGAGTGCAAAACGTAAAATCTTATTTTATTAACTTGTTAAAATGGCACCTTAAACCAAAGTCACATCGTTGTTTCCTGATTGTGACCTGGTTGAAAGTTTTTTAATAAAGTGTGGAAAGCTTTTAGGGTAAGTGAAATTGGTCATTCATAGTTTGCCCTTTAGATATACGACCCCTTTGGGAAAACAGACATGTTAACTTTAAAATACCCGCTTGCTTTCTGCGCTTTAAATACCTCTGTTGAAGGTGGTTTATCTATTTATCAAAATAGGGTTCTTTTTTAAGGTTAAAATTATCCCAGCGATGCTTCAATTTTTTTCAGGAAACATTAAAAATGGAAAGACGAATCCTTTAGGCCTATATATCCTATAGGATAGACAAATTACTACATACACTGACCATTTTAACACCAAATTAACACCATACATGGTCTATATCAATACAAACCAAAATGGTGTCAAATATGGTTCGTTGGTCCAGTGTAAATTCAAATACTATAATAATAGTTTAAAATAAATTTTACCTAGTGTAAATTGAACTCTTTTTCAGTGTTAAATATTATGTGTTTTTGGTCAAATTAAATCATACTACACAGAAAAAAAGGAAACAGGAAGTTCCTTGACGCATTACAAGTATATTACCAGTGGTATTATTCCAGAAAATTGAACCTTCAACTCGCAAGAGATAATGTTTTTAGTGCGTTCCACCAACTTAAAATACTTAAAGTATTGATAGCTGTTTTTACCTATTTAACAACTTGTAGTGTCGCACCAAAGCAAATAACCTGAGCTTATATACTCTTCATGTAAGTCAACAGAGGCGAGATTTAGGAACATCACGTGATCCACACCGCCTTTGCCGCGATCGGTATACACTATGCAACCAGGAATGCAAGGCAAATTGTATTAATCGTTTTAACAGAGTGCTTTAGGTTGAAGTAACTCTTATTTTACAAACAACATATTTAGTAAACTGAACCATACAGCGGGTTGGTTTCACTAAAGTTATCTGGGTTAATTTAAACAATTTAAAAAAATAAAATAACTATCTGGTTTAGTACCGGCAAAATAATCTTTGTTTATATTAACGATTAATGAGTGAACTAAATTAATATAGTTAAATGAACTATTCCTTTTTTCTGTGTAGGTGCACTTCTCAAATATTTTTAGATAAACACCGTTTTGGTGTTTGCTGTATATAACATTGTTAACCATAATTAATGGTGTTTATATTAACAGCACTTGGTGTGAAAAAGTAATTTTAGAACCCATAACATGTAATGTATGTAACGCGCGTTTTTTACTTAGGGTTAAAATTTTCTAAAAACCTGCCACGATGGAGCAATTCTAAATTAGTTATGATTAAATTTTGTGGCACTGTATTAATTTTCAGCTGAAAAAAACATACTGTGAAATGTCAAAAAAAAATACCACATTTTCCTAAAAGGTTTTAAAAATTATGAAAACGAATTCGGAATATGTACCTTTTAAGTCTTAATTTTTTATAGGATAACGTTTATAATATCTAAAAAATTATGTCTTGTATCTATGATTCCCAGATTTCAGAAAACAAAAAGCGGGAGTTGCCGATATAATATTTTTTGTTTCTTTAGTAAAACCAATCTTAAGTCGTTTTTGGTGTGGACTTTGATATCAGCAAAAAATTGGGAATTTGGTTGACTAATTAATGAAAAGTACTAAACCTATGACACAGGTCGATACAAAAATCTGTATGCTAAAGGATGTGTTAGCTGAGTTAAAAAATGATCAGTATTTTGCTTAATCAGCTTTTGATTTGCGATATTTTGAAATAGACCGTTTTTTGCAAATATTCAAATTTGTGAATTTTTTATCAAATACCGAATACAGTTGGTAATGTAGAGTTCTGTCGTTCAACGGCAGCCTCATGCGGAAATGTAGCACTTTCAGCACTAGTTAGGTAAATAACTATTAAATCCATAGAAACGGATTTTAACACCCGTTGGTATCGTTAATGACGCGCCAAATGCAGCAAATTGTAGATGGCATACATGTCAAAATAAAATAATATTAAATGTCAAAATGTGTAAACCACGGCGGTTAAGTGATTTTTGCAGCCTTTAAGAACATTTGTTCTTTCAGCCTATTAAGTTTAATCCGTCCATGTCCTAGGCTCTAAAAATTTGCTTGTAAGGTTATTTATAACCTAGGCCGTAAAAATTCATTATTTACTACTTTAGACCAATAAAATAAATCGACTTTAGTCTGGTTTTTTTCGTTTTTGTTCATTCAATTTTTTATGAATTTAGGAGGAAGAAATCATTTGACAAAAAAACAAAAGTCGTTCTAATAACTAGTAGTTGAAATGTTGTGGTCTAAAAAACGCAAAATAAGCGGAAAATAAATTGTTATTAGATTTATTAGAAAATCAAAAAAGGTTGTCAACTTACTTGTGAATACCAAAAGTATAGTAATTTCGATTATAAGATTTAAAGAAGAAAAACTGTTTAACTCACCAGCCCATATTTAGATTTTTTCCAATAGCACCAAAGGTAGGCATCCGTAAACTAAAAATCACAAGTATACACTAGTCACCCTTTTTATACCACACTTTAATATACACCATCTGAAACAAAAATACAATTTTATCAACAAGTTAGACAATAAAAAAAAACAAAAAATCGAAATAAAATCAATAAAAACCAAAATGGCGGAAGGTATATGTGGGTTCTTAAAAATCAAACTAAAAAGCAAGGAAAAATTGTATATACATGTAAATGTTAAATTATGGAAAATGAAGGGTTTCAGATAATGTATTGATCTAGTCGACTCACCGTGTCAAAATTTTGCATTGTGTGAAAACTCAAACTCAAAACAAAACTAAATGAAAACACAAAATCAAAACCAAGTCCAAAACTCAAAACTCAAAAATCAATAATTGCAACCAAAAATAAAAACTCAAAAATCGTATTCACTCACCATGCGACGCAGTAGATGTTGGCCTTCGGGAGCTCGGGCAGATATTTGGCAACGGCATCAGAAACTAGAAGGCTGAGGCGCCGTCTCCAGCCGGCCGCCCCCATTGGAGCCCTGCCACTGTTGCCACTCTGACGTTAAGGCCGATACTGTTATCCGGAAAACGTGCCCGCCAACCGGCGGCGGGCGGAGGCGGCGCTTAATGCCACATTACGCACAGTTTCAATCTAGCGACTCCAAAAAATCCGCTCGTTTTGCCATAATGTCGGCCATTTTGGAAAGCCCCGCTGATTGTTTTAGAGATCTTATTAACTGATTTACCCAAATGCTGTGCTTAACACTTTTGAACGCGGGCCCCCTATTTTTTGACAAGTTTATGTAGCCTACGAAAACTTCTTGCTTCGGCAATCGAGTTTGCAAACTGTTTTTTTATTTTTGTTTTGCTGTCGATTTAATGTGCATCATTATAACAATTTGTAGGCTATTATTCCGTTTAAAGTAACGATGATTTTAAAACGTTTTAACTTTTTTTCCGTTTTATTTGGAATTAATAAAAATTAACTTGATAAACTACAAAACAAGACCCAATGTAATGAATGTAAAGCAGTTTACTTATATCGAAAGGTTTTCTTGTACACTGTTTAAAATATCTGTGGTGTGAAGAGTAATCTTAAAATGGTGTCAAAATCCAACACCGTGGTGTTAATATAACACCATGAATTATGGATAAAAATGTTTTATATATAAACACCAAAACGGTGTTGATCTAAAATATTTGAGAAGTGCACCTACACAGAAAAAAAGGAATAGTTCATTTAACTATATTAATTTAGTTGACCCATAAGTATTTATTTAAATCAACTGTGGGAAGGTTAATATAAACAAAGATTAGTTTGACCAGAAAACTTTAGTGAAACCAACCCGCTGTATGGTTCAGTTTACTAAATATGTTGTTTGTAAAATAAGAGTTACTTCAACCTAAAGCACTGTTAAAACGATTAAAACAATTTGCCGTGCATTCCTTGTTGCATAGTGTGTACCGATCGCGGCAAAGGCGGTGTGGATCACGTGATGTTCTTAAATCTCGCCTCTGTTGACTTACATGAAGAGTATATAAGCTCAGGTAGTCATTGCTTTGGTGTGACACTACAAGTTGTTCGATACTAAAGAGACCTTAAATAGGTAAAAACAGCTATCAATACTTGAAGTATTTTAAGTTGGTGGAACGCACTAAAAACATTATCTCTAGCGAGTTGAAGGTTCAATTTTCTGGAATAATCCCACTGGTAATATACTTGTAATGCATCAAGGAACTTTCTGTTTCCTTTTTTTCTGTGTAGTATGATTTAATTTGACCAAAAACACATTATATTTAACACTGAAAAGGAGTTCAATTTACACCAGGTAAAATTTATTTGAATACTGTGTGAAAGTTAAATTTACACCATTTTAGTATTTGAATTTATACTGGACCAACGAACCATATTTAACACCATTTTGGTTTGTATCGTTATAGACCATGTATGGTGTTAATTTGGTGTTAATATGGTCATGAAATTTTGAACAGTGTAACGATGGTGTTGATGATTAAGGTAGATTTAAGGTAAGGTTAACTGTCACTTTTAGTATAACTAAGGTTATGAATCTCTCACTGACAGTAAACATTTTACGTTTAATTTCATATGTGCAGTGCACATTGTGCACCACTAAAAGTTTGGGAGACTTGCACTTTCATCATTGATACTGTTTAAATTATCATGGGGAAAAATCTAGCTTTATATTTATTTACGCGAAAAATCTGTCCCGGGCTATTATAAACACCTTATGTTTTTGTTTGAAATATAAATTGGTTTATAAAACAATAATTTAAATTCTTCATTAATAAGTACAAATACATGAGATACGTAACAATTTGAAGTACCGAAGCTTCGGCCTAAATTGAGCTAAAGGTTTAGCCAAACATTTAGCATAAATTCCTTTCAAAAAGGAAATTTGGCAAACAAAAACACGAAATGAAGGGTAAATAATTATTTTGCGATTTAACGTAGTAAAAGATAATTATTATATTATTATTAATATATTTATTATGGAAAACTTTAAATACTCCCAAACCGTAGCTTCTATAAATTATAAATTATAAAAGGACTAGGGAGCTGCCCCTGCCCCCTTGTGGACGCCCATGTACGTAACAGACTTTTATGTTGTACACTTTAATAAACTTCAGCCCTGTAAAAATTTCTAAATAAATGAATTTAAACTGTTTAAATAAATGTAAATATAAATAAATAATAAATAATATTAATTATTCTGTATCAACTTTTATAAACGCCATTTTAGTCACGAAATAAATGAGTGTCTAGAAAAGTTTATAAACGAGTTGCATACACTTTTTCTATACATAGATATTTTGTATTTTTATAGTATATAGTTATTTCATAAGAAAGGCAATTTATTTTAACGATTGTATGACATTTGACAACTGTCAACAAAGCCATTTAACCCCTAAGAACCTGTTGCTAACTTCAGCCCCTGATTAAAGCGCCATAAAGCCATAGCTTGTCAATGTGTATTTAAAAGATCACTTAATGTTATAAAATCATGTGCGTTTTAAAGGTACTCTCTAAAAATAAATTAGTCAAAAGTAACTAATTGTCATAGCGAAAAAGCAGCCACTAATAATTCTCGTCAATAGCAATTTGTATCCCAAACATTTAGCAGTCAATTTCCATGTAAAATTGTTCCCTGACTCCGAAAAAGTTGTCAAAAGTTAGAAAAGTAGAACAGTTTTTGAGATATAGTAAATTTTCCATATTATATGGAATTGACTAAATCTTATTTTATCTATTTTATCAAGCTACAGATAACATACATAACCCAATGTTCAAAAATGACATTCGTATAGATAAAAGGTATCCTTATGAAGTAATAGAAGAAGAACTGAAGATTTGTCATACATCTATATAATTAATATAATAGAATAAATTTTCATTATTTTTAAATTTTAATCATTAAATTTATATAAGGGTGTGCCAAAAACGGCAATATCCTTTGTTTTTTGCTCTCACATAAAAATTAAATAGAAAACGTCAAAATAAAAACTCTGTCCAAATCTCAACCCTTAATTTTAATTTTAAGAGATATATCATTGAGTTTTAAAATTTTCCATATATGATCCTATAGGATTAACACAAGAACATATTTTTTTAATTTTTTTCTCCATGCATTCTATGTAACCAGTTTCTTATAATGACTGATGATCCTAAGAAAGTTTCTATCGTTTATATTTTATTTACTAAAGGACTTAGAAAATGGTAATTTCTATAAATCACAAAATTTCATCACACATTTATTGTCTCAGTGTCATGTCTCGTTTTCTTAGTATCATCAACAGTTTAGCCTATAGGCTAAAAAATCTAAGAAAACGCGTAATTTTTAGAAATTTCCATTTACTAAGTCCTTTAGTAAGTAAAATATAAACTGGGAACTTGATTCTATGATATTTTTTCTAGAAAATTCCACACCTGTAATTTTTAACCAATCAAAACGTGTATTTTTGATAGATCACCATGGCAACTGTTGAATTTTAGTGGAAATTTTTTCCTCGTGGGTACCCAACAGCGAATTATACTGGAAATTTTTTTGACGTTTATAATGACAGAATATTTTTTTGACAATCTGGTTTTTATTTGTTTACATGATAATTTTGATACATTTCCATTACAAAGTTTAGATGTTTTCTATATTCGTTGGACACCTCCTTTCTTCTTAATGGCGAAAATGCAGGACTTGAAATAAATTAAATGTCTATGTCTAATGAAATACCTATATATAATATTTAGACACTATTCTATTCACATTTTTTTCCATTTAGCACTTTGAGTTTTGAATAGTTAAGAACAATTCAAAACAAATTTTCTTTCTTCAAGTAGGAGCCACAATCCTCTAATAATGCGGGTAAATAAGTCATTGCACGATGATTGATCATTACAGCAGACAATTTCACATTTTTTTACGTCGTGCCGCTTGACAGCTTCAAAACTGAAATAACTTTTAGGTTGGGGTTGACTTAGTTGCCATGGTAACTAAATAATCAAGTAGAGGTCAAGTTAAATCAAAAAATAAATTTTAATTATTTAAACACAATTTGGTGTGGAATTTTCTTACCGAATACCACACGAGGTCAAATTAAATCCGGAAATTTTTTTTCCCTCATGAATATTTTTAGAAAATTATCCCTCGTCTTCGACTCGGGATAATTTTCAAAATATTCATGAGCTCGAAAAAATTTCCGGAAATAATTTGACCTCTAGTGGTATTACTAGTGAAAATTTAAAGCTCTTTTAGGATCATCAGTAATTTTTATGGAAAAAAAAGTGGCAACAAAGAATGCAGGAAAAAAAAACCTTTTATCCCTATGGGAAATTTTAAAACCTCTTAAAATTAAAATTAAGGGTTAAGATATGTCGTACAAAATTATCCCAGGTAGTATAAACATCATATCAAGAATAATATAGAAAAACAAGAAGCTTTTGTAATTCAACAGTTTTTAATTTTATTTTGAAATTTTGCAGGTAAAGTAGGACATAATATTTATATATGTACCAAGTCAGTGAAGTGATTCTTTATCGAAAGATCCTAAGATTATAATATAAGCAGAGAGAGAACGAAGAAAGTAACATATCAGTGCGATAATAGTTATTTGTTTTACAAGTGTTGAAAAGCGACTTTTTCATGCGAGTTTTTAAGTTGCCCACGAGGCCGTTAGGCTGAGTGTGCATTAACACGAGCTTGAAGAAAGCTTTTCTCACAAGTATAACACAATGTTTTTTCTGCGACCCTTTTATTTTTTATTATTTTTAAATACAAAACAAATTAACCTAAAAACTTTTTTTGACAGCTGAATGTCAAAGGATGCTGTCAATTTCTTTTTACACAGACCTGTCACTTTTCACACAGAAATGTCACTTTACATTCGTGTTTTGCCTTGCCAATGAAAAGATTCATTTTCTAAGCAACGATGCCATCATGAAAAGTGACTTTTACATAGTGGTCGTAGAAAAAGATACTTTACTGACGTACATACCATACTTTATGGCGTTAGTTGACAGTTGTCAAAT